GCCATCTGTCCGTTGGCCCGAGTAGCATTTTAAACCACCATTTTAATTTGCTTGGGCAGTCATTTTAGCACATGTACAGCACAGCTTTACAAAATGAGGACTGGAGGCACAGAAGAGCGGCTCAGGACAGGATGTCGACAAAGGAGACACTATAACAGCAGCATCAATTCAATTGGTAGGTACAGTGAACACAAGTACAGTACTTTGAGAAAGGGAGATTCTCATTTGGCTGCTAAAACCTATATAGACTCTTATGGCACTACTTCCTTTCTATACTATTTTATATATTTACTTGCATTCTTTTATCTGTTTTATTGTGTTGCACTGTTGGAGGAGCCTGGGACCTAAGATTTTCATCGACATAACTACACTAGTAGCTATGTACGAATGACAATAAAAGCCTTGAATCTTGAATCTTGAAAAGTGAGCGACAGGGTTAGCCTAGCTAGCAAGCTAATCTGCTATCATATTAACCACCAATTGACCACTTGTATTACAGTCTTATCTCTTGGAGCACAGTGGCTGTGGATGTGATGACCTTGATGGATTGTTTTATGAGGTTTCATTTCCTACATTGGACACATTTCAGCAGGAAGTGTATTTTTTGTCTCTCACCATGTTGGCCCTCGGCTGCACCCTGTTCATTATCTGATATTTCTCCAGCCTGACAGTTGGTGGAAGTCTCACAGAGCCACACATTGAGGAACTTGATGGACCATTAACTATGGCTGATAAAATAACAAATCTTGGAAATATCTTTACCTGCTACAAGTCTTAGGTTTGTTTCTCTCATCATGAATGTTGCATTGTTTTAAATCACAATTTGTAGTCTATACTGTAGAGGTGAAAGTATATCGTTTTATTACTAATCAAAATGTAAAACTGTATTTTGCCTACTAAATGTATGATTACGTATGCTGTTACCTGCAGACTGTTGGCACTGAAATACACTCAGGCAATATGTTTTCTCTGCGTCACATGACCGTATCAATCACATCGTTACCCGTCTGCCCTATCTTTAAATTAAAACTGCTGATCAAATATGTAAATCAAAAATACCTCCTTTACTTTTCCCGACGTTTGTTACGTTACATTTTATATGTGATCTCTGGCATACTGCTTTTAACTGTATCTTAACGTCACTGACTTACAATGAATTATTTAAACTGTCTGCCTCTCAGTCTGCTATATTGGAGAGTCTGAGGAGCCGCAATGCACTTTGGGTGCATTGATATAACCATGCTCACTACTCATACTATAGAAATAGCTAAATCTAGTAACCATCCGGGCATTTCTTGCTACACAAATGCTACATACTCTGCAGTTGATAATGAAATTGATACACAATTCCATTGTCTAAATTAAAAGGCACAAACTATTGCTCTATATATGTATCTTATCTTTTTTTTGTCTGCCTCTTTTTCTCCTTCCTCAATCGTCTCAATGAGCATTACTAGTTTGTGAATTGTTGTATCATATTCCAATCCTTATAAGGGAGGTTTAGGGATACATTGCTTTTAACCCTTAGATGCATAAGTGGGTCTTTTTGGACCCGGTGAGGTGGTTTTCTTGAAGTATCTTTGTAATTACATTTTTTTATCATTTCATATTCCAGCTATTCCTCAAAAAACATGTTTTGGATATCATGCCATTCAAATTTTAAATTTAAATTTTATACATTTTAAGAAATTGTAGTTTTTGTATTACTACCCCAAGCTTCCATAAGTGGGTCTTTTTGGACCCGGTGAGGTGGTTTTCTTGAAGTATCTTTGTAATTTAAAAAAATGTATCATTTTATATTCCAGCTATTCCTCAAAAAACATGTTTTGGATATCATGCCATTCACATTTTTAATTTACATTTTAAGAAATTGTAGTTTTTGTATTAGTACCCCAAGCTTCCATAAGTGGGTCAAAACTGACCCGCATGCATTTTCTATGGAGTCCTATGGGAAAACGTTTTCTTTCAAAATGTAAAAGACATTTCTAAAATTATAAATAGTGAAAAATTAAATATAAAATATTTCTAGTGTGAACCAAAATATAATACTAAATATTATACAAGCGATTTTTCTTAACCAAAATGACAAAAATGGCATAAAAACACATATTATTCTAATACGGGTCCTTTTAGACCCACTTATGGAAGAGTGTAGGGTCCAGTCACTCGTGCATCTAAGGGTTAAAGCCATAGTTCTACCATCTGGTAATAAAATAAGTATTTTAGTACAAAATCATTGGCTCTTGTAATACCAGTGTTGCTTTTTAAGTTTGATATTTCCATTCAAATGTTTGCATAGAGCACGATGCAGTGTATGCAATTGAGTTTATTTTTGTTCAGCTTTTCAAAGCAGACTTCATTAGGTATCAGGAACGATTGAAAGCTATTTTTATGGGTGTACAAGTAAGCTTTTTCCAGGGGTGGTTGTTCTGTCAGCTTTCTCTACTGTAGATGGTATCAGCCAGCTCCCTGTTTTGATGTGGAAATGATGAGCTTATTAAGCCTGGCCCATAAAGACTTAATGAAAAACTCTCTTTTTCCCTCCACACAACATCAAATTTGGCTAAACGGGTGCCAGGGCTGGGTAATGAATATGCAGAATGACAGTTTTAGTACAGTTTAAAAAAACAAAAATCCTACTGATGAATATGAATTGTGTGGGGTTCATGATTCAAAACTTCCAATCATCTCTACTTCCCTTTCTCTCTTTCGCTTTGATTGTTGTCTTAGTCAATCTCTTTATTCCCTCGTTCAGAGAAATACTACATCCCACCAAAGCTGTCCGGTGAAAGCAGAGAAATGTCCGTCTCTTATGAATACACATGCCCATACACACATGGTACCAACGAACACACATGTTCAGAGGGAACTCATGAAAGTCAATTGGCTCACAGATGGAGCAGAGAGGCCAACAGTCTGGCTGGCAGGTGCAAGGACCAGCTTGGTAAGAACATGATAGCTAAACACACAGGTGCTACCTTTCTGCCAATTTATGCTCCATAGGACAACTAATAGCTATCTGGTGAGTTGTTTACATCCACTGACATGTCTTTCTCCAGATTTCCAGTGAACATTATGGCTGCTTGGTGAGTCATTGGGATGTAGCTCTGGTCTGCACGGACATCTTGCATCTCATAAAACTGCTACCAAGAGTCTGATATACTGCCACATCAGATTCACAACACACACATGCACATATTTGCACTCACTTGTTTGTAGACAAATAGTAAAAGGCAGATAATTGTGTCTTGTGTTTTGTAAAACTGTATGTGTTGTCAGAAACACTGCACAGGTAGTTCAGATGCAAATATCAGTGGCAGACATGGACTCAGATTACACATAAACTCAGATTTTCTGCATATAAGGTTGTGTGTTATATAGCCACACTTTCAGTCTCTCAATATATTGAATCATAAGTCCTGTGTCATAAAACAAATCACAGCCCCAGATTCAACGTGTAAAGAGTTTTTGCATGCTGCTAGAAAGCTATCTTATATAGATAAATACCTTCAGATTGCCCTTGTAACTACACACTTGTCTTGCCTTAAAAAGCTATTTAGTTGCTTGTAGCAACAGCAACAACATTCGCCCTTGCCATTGAATACAAGTGTTACATCTAAAAAGGCATCTACTTTAAACACAGGTTCATTCAAGGTCTTTTCTAAGCCATTTCCTCCCATTTTCCCTAAATCACTTTTCGTCTGGTGTTCAGACAATGTCTTTTTAGGATCAAACCGGCATGAATTGGTTGTTGTTGGTCTGTGTGTGTAGGGAAAGAGCCTGGTTGGTAAAGTGCTCTGGGGAACACATTGTACCAGGCAGTGTTCTGCAGAGCAGGAGATTGCTACTGCACTTCTCACAGGTAATCACTGACAAACAAGCCAATAAATAGAAAGAGGAAGCACACATACAAACACACAAATACCTGAGAGCACTTCAAGTTCAACTGTGGCTGGAACGCTTCTTTCTAGACTGAGATCATTACCACGGAAAAGCAGTAAACACAGAAACTAAAAATGACTTCTCCTTTCATTCCCTCATCCTGCCGATCTTTCACTCGAGTGACCCTGACAAGGCGAGCGAGCAGAAAGGAACATGAAAAGCAGCAGATTCACAGTAATTGCAAGCGGTAGAAATATGCCAAGTAATGTGACATTCAGTTCAAAATGCAGCCTCTTGAATTTATTATCACTTCCAAGCACGAGCTTCACTCCTTTTCTTATCTGTGCCCGATAACCTTTGTAGGGTTTGTGGCAAATGAAATGTATTCTTTGGAAGGAAGCATTTCACCTCTTTGGTTCTGCAGTACAGTTCACAGTCAGAGAAACTGTATGCAATAACTGAGGGGGTCAAAAGTTCACCACATACAAGAACGAGTGGTGTTTAATGCCTACAGTGAGCAATCATAAAGCTGCACTAATTTAATGGCAGCAAATGTCATTCATCAAGCAAGTGCATAATTGAATGGTAAAATCTATTATGTGAATGTTCAGCAGGTAATTAACATCGACTGGACTGTGTAGTAAAACTTTTATTAGCTCATACTAATGACAAAACACCCCACAAACATATGCCACAGGAGATGCCCTTATCATTTGACAAAATGTTTTCTTCATTTATAAGGCTCAGTGGAAGTTGAGCTAAACTACCACAATGGGTTTAAGCCTTTTTTTTAACTCTGTCAGATCCTAAAATGAGGGAGGATTGTACGGATTAGAGCAATGCTAATTAGACATTCACCCTGGCAAGGTTAATGAAGGATTAAGCCATGAGTTAGGACCCCTTTGAAACCCAGGTCCTATCTGCACACTGCACTTCTAAGGGGCAAGATCTTTTTTTTGGAAACTTGTATAAAAAAGTACAAAAGAAATAAGCAAGTGTATTTTGTACTGGCGCAACAAATCCAGGATTCACAAACACTGGAACACACACACACACACACACACACACACACACACACACACACACACACACCAACGTATGTACAGTGCAAACCCTACCTGCACCAGGTTCCAGCCCTCCAAAGACTCTGCGATGATGGAGGTCACTGAAGGGCACACGCCGCCGAAGATCATCAGGTGTTTGGGGCCGTAGCATATGGCATCGAAGAAGGCCCTCAGCCCCTTGGCGTTGTCACACTGTACATGGAGAGAGGGGGTGAAGGTGGAGGTGAGAGCGGGGAGAAAGGGGGAGAAGAAGAAGACAGAGAGACAAGAAAAAGAGAGATTTGTGTTAAGTGTTATTGTAAAACTCAAGAGGAAGTAGAACAAGGATATACTGCAGGAGGAGTAAGGGAGGTAAAGTTACATATTCCAGCCAATGGTGGGCAACAATGAGACTGGCACAAGACAAAAGAATGTACAAATCCATATTCATTCCATATTTTAAGATACAGACTCTGCAACAAATACACACATTATAAATTATTTTCGTTTCTTTATTCAGAGAAAATGAGATTGTTTAGATATTAGTCAAAGAAGTCTGGCCATACCATAATCTGTGAGTCAATCTATAATTACCAGCTGCCATGAAAAACTGCCGTGCACAATGTACTCTGACATACTGTGATGGATGCACTGCAAAAAAGTATAGCCACTGGTGTCAGTTTATTGTAATGTATAGGCCTACTGTTTATGAAAAACGATGTGACATTTAAATAACATTTAACTTATTATACTCTCTGAGCGCAGAGGCATATGCTAACACACAGTAATTACAGCCTTGGTTGTGTGTTTTGAAAGCATCATGTAAAACGATGTATCTCACAGAGCGAGCCCCCGCTCTGATCCACACTGCAGAACGCAGCCATTTCACGTCACTATAGCAACCAGAGGAAGAAAGTGTGCGAAAAAGGGAGAAGAGAGAGAAATGAGAGATAGGAGAAATAGAAACAGTGGAGCTTCCTATTGATTGCTACATGAGCTGATGGCTAACGGGTTTTGCTGTTATTCTCTGATTTCCACAGTTTGTAATGATATTCCTATCAGCAGTAAACACTTCCCTCCTCAGTCCTCCATTACTGCCGCTCAATTCTGTTCCTGTGAGGCAGACACATAAACTGACCGACTGACTGAATGGCAGGTTGTGTGTGTGTGTGTGTGTGTGTGTTAGCGTCTTCCAACACACTCCCTCTCATCTTGAGAGTTATTTGACCTTGTTAGCCGTCAGCCGGCAACTGAATGAGATTTCCCTCTGAAGAGCAGCACAGACGAGCCTCCACCGCAGATTGAAAAACATAAAATCGAATGTGGAGGAATGATTCTCCTAACCAGACATGTAGGACCGTGTGTTGTGATCTGATGGTTACTGTATTAGGGGCACGCCAGGTAACGTTGCTGCGGGCTTGACACATTTTTAACAACCTGTGTTCCTCTCTTGTCGGGTCAATTTGTTTTGAGCTGAGGATGATCGTCGCTGAGCCCTAAATTAAGGTCGATGACAGAGACAACCTTGAAAGTCACACGATGAGCTGCTGATACAGCCATCGTCCACACAGCCCTCCAGTCTTGATGTAATCATATGATTTAAGTCATCAGATTATTTTAGTGTGAATGCCCTTTGATTTTTGAAGTAGAAGAACATCTGCTGATGAAATGAAATGAAGGTTCCTCTTTGATGCATGTACGTTCATGCTGGTGGAGAACAATGCTGTAATGTCAGTCAAAAGTGAACTAGATTGCTGATAGGCCTCAGGTGGAATGAGAGGGAGAGGATGTGATTAGACACAGTGGGGATTCCTTATCCTGGCTACACAGCTGAATAAAACAGCAGGCTATTAAAGAAGATATCCCATTTGCATTCTCTTATCATTCATTTCTCTCCAGCTGGCCATAACAAGGATGGTTGGTAGGATGGTGACTCTGATTGGTTACCATGCAACAGAAGAGAAATGTGGGCAACTAAACTTGTCAACATGAGTACAATAGAGCTTGGTGATATTGCAGGTTTAAGCTGATTTATTAAGGAGAGTGACAATGTCGTGTAGGTGGTAAAGAATGGTTATGTTCCTCCCTCTGCAGAAAATGGTTTACAGCATTTCAAAGCAGGGGGTGGGGAGCTTCAGACGGACTCATGTGCTGTTTTTCATCCTGATTAATCTATTACTCATTTGGTCGGTAAAATATCCCATAGCCCAAGAAAACATGTTTAAATTGCCCTTTTTTGTTCACCCAACTTTTCAAAATCTGAATATCCTCAGTTTATTTTGACACAAGACAAATAACAGAAGCAAAGTCTCCATATTAAGAAGCTGTATCTTAACAAATTGTGTCATTATTGTTTGATGAATGACCTAAATGTTTTATCGATTTACAAAATAATTACCAATTATTTTTCTTTCGGTCTACTAAACGATTCATTAACTAACCATTTTAGTTCTAATTATATATCTAATTTTCTCAGATGACTATGGAATCACTCATGTGAAGTTACAGTAAGTAATGAAATATCGCCGATATGAGAAACTCAATCTCTTTCAGGGCGGAAAAAAAAAAGAAGCAAGAAAGCAGCTTCAACGATAGCTAAAATCAAATAGAAAGCTTTCTTTCTTTCCTCACATTCTCTGTTCATCCCGGCTGTTCATTCATCCTCTTATACTTTTACCGGGCACACATGCACAAAATCTGTTGTGGCTGCTCACAGAGCCTTGACCGGTGTGTTGTCATGCCAACAGTGTGACTATCCACACTTTGTGCACGAGATGAGGGAGGAGGCCGCAGCAGGGCCGGTGTGCAATGCTTATATTTAGCCTCTCATTAGGCAGCACACGACCACTCATCAATACTTTTTGCAGTTAAGAAAGACTGTGGAGCTTAATGCCAGATGGACAAAGCAAGATGGACGGGGGGAAGAGGCGTCGGATTATAACGGGACACAAAGAGTAAAGCAGCAAGTCCATGGGGCTGGTGGAAGAAAGGGCAGAAACACGTTGAATAGGTGGAGAGAAAGACCGGAGTGGAGAGGTATCGGCTCACTAATAAAGCAGAAGCAACCCGTATTATAAACCTGCCCTCCATTATTACCCAACAATGGAGCAATTCATGACTGAGATTGATTCAGTGGGTGATGCTCAGCTGCACAGGGTGCCCTGCAGATTAGCCTACAGTCCATCAGTTACGGAAAAAACGCATTTCAATATCAAATCTAAGGCCATTTTGTATCGATTAGTTTGAATGTCTTTTGTCCCTGAATTCAATACATGAGAAGAATGAGAGTTCAAATAGCCTCTCTGTCTAGTGTTTTCTTTTCACTTCCTTCTAAAAGCAGCACTCAAGACTTTATTTATATTTTCAAGGATTTCCCGAGCAGTGAAAGAGACATTTGGGTACAGGCTGTATCTTACATCCCAATTTTCTCAGAGAAATACGCTCAGGCATAAAGGAGACAAATGTAACTGTGCTGACAAACACAGAGGAGGTCCGATGAAGAACTGGTACAATGGCCAAGGCACAGCAGCACTTAACTCCCAAGTTGAGCAGCAAGAAATACTACAGCGTTTTATTTCCCTCTTCCCGAGTCTGAAATCTAATTCCTGGCATTTGGAGGCCATTTGGATCAGATCGATGGGGTTAGCGCCCGTAGTAATCTGTTTGACCGCCTTGGGAGACGGCCAAGGAAACCGTGTGTGTGTGTGTGTGCGCGTGTGTGTGTGAGAGTTGGTGGGGTAAGGGCTGATAGGGGAACAACCTGGCAATGGGAACTCAAGGGAGGCATATAGCCCTGTCTAATGTTGACGATCCATTAACAGAACATATACTTCGGGTGACCTCAATACAATACTCTGCAGTTCATTCACAAACTGGAGTCTGACTGTGAAATACGATTTTATTTGTACAAAAAGTGCTCGACTACTTTCATCATTTAAAAGGATATTTCTGGTGCGACAGATGGCAAACGAGGAGTTTATTTCAAATGCTCCTCAGTCTCCATTACGTTTCCTTCATCGTGACCTTTACACAAAGCCACTGAGATTCATACGTATTGATTCATCATTATATGCTGACATTAGCTTATTGTTAGTGTGTAACTGATAAATTGCACTCAATTAGGCTAAATGTGAAGAAACAGCTGCCCAGAAATGTCAAATGATCTAATGTTCCATATGGTAATTTTCAGACCATTCTATATTTCACATAAAAAGTCTGTAACATATCGGAAAACGACACATCTTTAAAAAGGTCAGCATGCTTCAATGCTCCTTTTTCTGAAAGTAACTTCAAAGCACATCGCAGCAATAGTAAGTACAAAACATCCACAATATGGAAAAGTTTGAGGCAGGTTTTCCGCAAGCTTAACAGCCAGGGAAGATTTCAATTTTTCAAAAGAAAGCTTTATGAATTAAGCTCCTCTGTGCTCCTCTCCGAACAGAATACAATGCAGTGCTTTACAGTCAGAGGAAAACCGACTTAAAACAATCCAGTGAGCCTTCCCTTCCTACACAGGGTCAGCCCGTCAGCAGCGCACTGCAGAGCCGCTCCTTTACTTACAAGGCAATGCAGGTTTCTCAACCCAAATCCTTCACTCTACCCTACTGTGTGTGTGTGTATGTGTATGTGTATGTGTAGTGTGTGTGTGTCGTGTGTGTGTGTGTGTGTGTGATTGTGACAAGAACAAGAGCTGATCAGAGCACCAGGCTGGAGCTAACCATGATGAAATGCCTTGTTAGCGCTGCAAACAGAGGCAGCTGCACCTGTCCCTGGTCTAATGGCAAATTACTGCACCCAAATCAGCAACCTGAGACCCAATGCTGCACACACAGCGAGGGGTGGGGGGGGGGGGCGGGGGGGTGATGGGAGAGCCTGGTGTGATGTCAGACGCAATCTGCTCTTCACACACACTGCGTTTATTCATGACAAGGCCAACAGCACAGGTGATTACCGAGAGCAAAATCCTAAAGGATCTCACCACAGAAAAGGTGCTTTCACAGGTGACGAAGAGATGTGTCGCCTCGCCTCTAAAGATAATGGCTTGTCATTTTACCCAAGGTTTTATACCGTGTATTTATTAGAGCTGTGTGAACATGAAGTGTTCATTACTTCTCTCTATCCAATTAACAGAATCCCCAATAACACACCCTTTGCCTCCCTTCATTTGGAATCATTGTTTACTCAGTATGTTTACTGCGGATACGTGAAGAGAA